CGCGCCGGGCCACGTGGTTCGGCGCCGCCGAGCCGGAGCATCATGGGCCGGCGGGCGGGGGAGGGCGCCCGGGCGGCGGGCCGGCCCGAGGGCGCCTCCTCCTGGTGGCGCTGGTGCTGCCGGTGCTGCTGTGGGCGCGGGGGGTCCGGGGCCAGGGAGACCCCCAGCGGAGCACGATCCTTGGCATGCGACTGGAGAGCTGCGACAAGCCGTGTGGGATGAACCCGAATGGCATCATCTTTGTGTCCGAGGGCAGCACGGTGAACCTGAGGCTGTACGGCCACAGGCTGGGCTCCATCTCCAGCAACCTGATCTCCTTCTCGGAGGTGGACAACTCCGAGGCCCTCCACAACTCCACCCACTGCCCCGAGCTCACCAAGGACCTGGTCGTCCAGCAGCTGGTCAACGTGAGCCGCGGGGACACGTCCGGGATGCTGGTGGTGTTCACCAAGTTCCTCCGGAGGAGCGAGAACATGAAGCTGTACGCGCTGTGCACCCGGGCCAGCGTGGACGGGCCCTGGCAGAGGTGGACCGATAAGGACTCGCTGCTCTACATGGTGGAGGAGGCGGGGAGGTTCCTGCCCCTCTGGCTGCACATACTTATCATTTTGGTGCTGTTAGTGCTATCGGGCATCTTCTCTGGCCTCAATCTGGGGTTGATGGCCCTGGACCCCATGGAGCTGCGCATCGTCCAGAACTGTGGCACGGAGAAGGAGAGGCGCTATGCTCGCAAGATCGAGCCTATCCGTCGCAAAGGCAACTACCTGCTCTGCTCGCTACTCCTGGGAAATGTGCTGGTCAACACCTCTCTCACTATCCTTCTGGACAACCTCATCGGGTCCGGGCTCATGGCCGTGGCCTCCTCCACGATCGGCATTGTCATCTTTGGAGAGATCTTACCTCAGGCCCTGTGCTCCCGGCACGGACTGGCTGTGGGTGCCAACACGATCGTTCTTACCAAATTCTTTATGCTACTCACTTTCCCCCTCAGCTTCCCCATCAGCAAGCTCCTAGACTTTTTTCTGGGCCAGGAGATTCACACCGTTTACAATCGGGAGAAACTGATGGAGATGTTGAAGGTGACAGAGCCCTATAATGACCTCGTGAAGGAGGAACTAAATATGATTCAGGGGGCCCTGGAACTACGGACCAAAACCGTGGAGGACATCATGACCCAGCTCCATGACTGCTTCATGATCCGCAACGATGCCATCCTGGACTTCAACACCATGTCCGAGATTATGGAGAGTGGCTATACCCGCATCCCCGTGTTTGAGGATGAGCAGTCCAATATCGTAGATATTCTCTATGTCAAAGACTTGGCCTTCGTGGACCCCGATGACTGCACCCCCCTCAAGACCATCACCCGCTTCTACAACCACCCCGTGCACTTTGTCTTCCATGATACCAAGCTGGACGCCATGCTGGAGGAGTTCAAGAAAGGTAAGGCCTGAGCCGCTCTCCCCGCTAACTGTGGTCACACCGCTCTGGTCTTCCTTTTGTGGGACTCTGCCCCTTCGCCCCTATCACTTTCTAGGTCTCTGGGATGAATGGTATTTGGGGCAGCAAAACAGTTAAGCATCTGCTGTCTGCCAGGTCCTGTGTTTTGCTTCAGCTGAATCAAAGCTGAATAAGACTCTTGCTCATTTGGAGGATGGAGCGAGACCTCAGGGAGCTCTCAAGCACGACAGATGAAGGCAGTTGCCTTAAGGGGGCCAGGACCAGGGCACAGAGATTAGGTCGGGAGCATGCAAGTCTGATTGGGGTGGGGTGGGGAAGGGGCTGGGGAACTGGAAAAACCTTCACAAGGGAGGGAGTGTATGAGGAGAGCCTTAAAAGGTGGAGAGACTTGGTACCCGAGGTAGAGAGAACCCCAGGAGCAGAGAACCCAAGTTGGGGGGGAAAGGATGTACTTGTGGCCCAGCAGGTGGTCCTGTTCAGGGAGGATACAGGCTCCGCTGATGAGTGGTCAGCAGGGGAGGGGCTGAGGCATCAGGGGCCTGGGGAAGGGCCTGAAGGTCAGGATGGGAAGTTTGCTAGGAGCTGGGAGCTAAGGACGGTTTGTGAGCAGGGGAATGACATCACTGGAGCTCCTAGCCCACAGGAGTCGATTGGGAGCTCAGAACAGTGCCAAGCAATGCTTTCGACTCTTCAGCAGAAGCAAGCAGGTTAAGTTTTGGTTATTGTTCTCCCTTTCCCTGGCATCAAACCTAAGCTTCCCTCCTGTGGGCTGCTGGAATCTTCAGCTGGCCTTGCGTCCCCTGTGTTTTTCTTCCTCACATGGGTTCTTGACCTGTTCTCAGGTTGTCAGAGAGGCACTTGGAGGGTTTACACACCAGCCTCAAAGCTCAGCAAACTTTCCTTCTTCCAGCAAACTTTCCTCCCACCTCTGCCACTCCAAGCCCTCAGTGGTGGTAAACAAGCCAATTATGGAGTAAAACCCTCCTAGGCCACAGGGAATGAGGAGGCAGAAAGGGAAGCTCTTTGTGAAGGAATGGAGAGGGGAGGAGCTCATCCTAAACCCAGGACTTTGCTTGTTTCCCATAGATAGGGCTCCCTCTGGCGAAGCTCCCCGGGCCACCTAGGGCCAGGGGCAACTTCTGAGCAAGCCCCAGACCCTTGTCAGTTCATTTCTGGGGCAGAGTGCAGGGGAGCCTGGAACTGGCTGGATGGGTGGGATAGGGAGGAGCTGGCCTGGCCAAGTTTGGTCTGAAAGATGCTCGGGTCGCTGCTAGGGTGGGGGGTTGGTACCCAGTCTTTCTTTTCCAGTTTGGCAGGCTGCATCTCAGCAGCAGAGCTAAGGGGGACTGGAGTAATGTGAGCCCCAGTGGACACTGCAGAGGGATGGACCAGAGGGACAGAGGTGGCTGGTGATGATGGCACCGCCTCCCTGGAGCTTTGGGGTGCAGACCCTGGAACCTGTTTCTTCCAGGTCCCCGAGCCTGGGGCAGAGGCACTTGGAGGGTTTCCACATCAGCCTCAAAGCTCAGGGCACACCCCCCTCTACACCCACCCTGCAGACCCTTGGCCCTGAGGACTTCTCCTGTGTCCTCGATGAGGAGCCTGGTGAGAACTCGCTATGGGGCTTACTCCTGGTCTTCGGGACTGTTGCTGGTGGCCCACACACAACAATCAGTCAGATTGTTGCAGCCAGAATGATTGATCAGCAGATCAGTAGAGCTAAGCTCTCACATGGTGGGAGCTTCCTGAATCTTGGCAGGGCCATCTTTGGACTCTTGTAAAAAATAAAAAATAAATTAAAAGGCCACTTCACATCTCTCAGGCCCGAGCTCTATTGAGCAGATCTCTTCAGATGCTGTCTCTCCTCCTAACAGAAGGGGGTTGATAATTCCGTGGAAACGCAGGCGCAGTCTGCCAGGTGCAGCACCAAGTCCTGAAGATGTGGGTGTGACAGGATGGTCACCCCAATGAACACACTTGGGCTTCACACTATCACCTCCCCGTTTCTAGTCTTAACTCACTGCTATGCTATTCCTCCCTCCTCCTCCCAGTATGGCCTTTTCCAGATTTTTCCATCTGACATCTACCTTTTCAGTCTGAGGCCCTCTAGGACATGGCAGACATTACTGTACACCTACAACCTAAGAGATTTTCTTTACCAATTTGGTGTTTGGAAGGTTCTTTTTTAGCTAAGAAAAACAAGTGAAAAAAGAAAAAGAAAAAGAAGTGAGCTGGGGTGCCTGTGCTTCAGTGGCCCTTGAGCACCTCGTAGTTGGGTAGGGCCCTGAGCTTCAGCTGCGTCTTCCAAGTTAATTTTGACTCCTTCTTGCTCCCAGCATTATAAGCTTCTTGAGGGTAACGATTCTGCCCTATTAGTGTTCTCACCACTCAGTGCCTGGCAAAGAGAGGAGCAGTAAGTGCTTGTTACACAATGAATGAATGAACGAACGAATGAACAAACAACAAATGAACGGATGACTGACTGGCAAGCCCTACTGGCATTCCTGCTGTTCCTGGAACATACCATGATGCCCCCAGCCTGGGCCTTTGCCCTAACTGTTCCTCGGCTGGAATGTTCTTCCCTGGATGGCTCACTCTCTCCCCTTACTTATGTCTGCTTCAGCTTCACCTTCTTCATGAGGCCTTCCTGCTTCCTGCTCCCCATCCTGTGCTTAATTTTCTTTTTCTCATAGCACATATGACTTTCTAACAGCCATGTAGTTTATGAACTTACTGTGTTGTTTATTGTCGTCTCCGCTCATTATAATAAAGTTCCAAAGGACAGGGCACTCTGTTTTGCTCGCTCTTGTGTCCCTAGCCCCTGGGATGGTTCTTGGCACAGAGCAGACCTCAATAAAAAGCCACTGAGTGAATGAATGACTTGTCAGGATTGAGAGAGAGAGAGTTATACCATTTCAGTCGTGTTAGGATTTTGAGGGGCTGACAAGGGATAAAGAAAAATGGGTGCTTGACTTTCCCAGCTGCACCAAGAAAGCCCGGAGGAGCTCCTGCGATGCATGTGTCTTCATGGTTTGGGTCAGGGGCTGAGAAGCAGAGCCTGCGATCTTGAGTGTGGCACATGGTTCCCCTTCCCCATGCCTCAGTTGCTCTGTAAGTGGTCTTTGACCATCAGGAATTTACATAGCTTCACGCATTAATATTAATGAGTCATGAATATGCTCCTGCACACCGAGAGACAGGCATGGGATCTGGGCTTCCCCTAGACAAGGCAAGGGGCTTCTAGCTGCTTCTGCCTCTCAAATCAAGGCAGTTATCATTAGATCTTTATTGAGCCCATCCGCGTGCCAGACAGTGCTAGGTGCTGCAGGGCCTCAGGAGTAGACCCTCTAGTTCAGGGTTCTCAACCTTGGCTGCACATTAGAATCACCTGGGAATCTTTAAAATCCTGATTTCTGGGCCTCATGAAATTTCCAGAGGATGAGACCCAGAAATCAGGATTTTAAAAAGATTCCCAGGTGATTCTAATGTGCAGCCAAGGTTGAGAACCACTGCTCTAGTTGGTGAGAGCTGTTAGGACACTGAGAATGGCTGGTACGATTTGAACTTTGGCCCTTGCACTTAAACCTCACCTAGAACTGTTTGCAGTACGGGTGTTGTGGTTGAGTTTGTCTATAGCTGGAAATCTTAGAATAAAAGCTCCCTGGACTATTCCTGGGCCCGGCTGCATTTTTCCTGCCCACAAATGCGCCCGCAGGCTCTGATGGAAAGTATGAATGAACTCTCCAGAAGGAGGTCCAGAGGTCAGGAGCGCAAGCCCCGCACTGGAGCTGCCTTCCAGCTTGCCACTGTGCCCCTCCCTCTGTGACACTCCTGCCCCTCCTAGGCACTTAGCTCCGCTTTAGTCATCCTATCCTATCTTTCCCCACCCAATTTATAACCTTCCAGCCCCCTGTAAAGAGCTGCGTTTAAGCGTCATCCAGCTCGGTCACTGACCCAGGAGTTGACCTTGGATCGATCAGGCTCCTCTTAGCGATTTCGTGGGTTATATGTTGGAGGGAAAACTAGAAGTATTTTCATCAAAACTCCTCCCATATTTCCATGTATGCCACATCACATTGCCCCCACCTACTTACTTTTATTCCTGAAACAACTTTATAAAGTCAAAAAAAACACTGTATAATTTTACATTCACTTTTGGTTCCCACCATCTGCCACACCTTCAATATCTTACACCCCCCCTCCCCCAGTTACCAGGGAAACAGACATGTAAACAGAGGTTAGCTGTACACAGCTCAGATAGGTGCAGTGGGGCCAAGGAAGGAAGGCCAGGCCTGTGAGGTGCTTCTGAAGTCCAAACAATGGGACTCATCAGAGATGTCAGGGCTGGCAGATGGTTGTGAACAGCTGAGGTTTCTGCTTGGGGTTCAGTTGGATGGTGTTGCCATGTAGTATAAGTGGGGTGGGGGCGGGGGAGAGCAGAGCCAGTTTGGGAAGGGTGGGGGGAAGGGTGTAGCAGAAAATAATAATGGTGTGACCCTTTATTGGACATCTCTGTGCCCAGCTGCCTGCACACCAGAGCTTCTCACACTTGACCGTGGGCTGACTGCCTGGGTGTTTTGTTAAAATGCAGATTTGAGCTCAGTGGGTCTGGGTGTGTCTGAGAGGCTGCGTGTCTGACAAGCTCTCAGTTGATGCCTACACTGCTGTTCCTGGGCGCTACTGAGCAGCGCGAGGGTGCAGCCCATCTGTGGGCGTGCAGGGGAAAGTGCCCTGTGGGGCTTGGGAGTGAGGCCAGGACCAGTTGAGGAGGCCCGAGATCAGCCAGGAGCAGGCAGAATGTGTGCAGAAGGCAGAAGCTTGGCTAAAGTGGCTTCTGGGAGAGATGAAAAAGAGCCAGGCAGGCATGGTTTGGGGAGCCTACTACAAAGGTCAGATGAGGGCGGAGGGTGAGGGCCCAGCACAGACAGTGGGGTAGACAGTGAGTCACAGAGTGCTTGGAGAGGGCAGCCGCAAGCAGCTGT